TTTCCAAAAAAAAAAAAAACACTTTCCCCCTCCCCTACCATCTCTGCTAGCTGTTCAGATAATCATATAGGAGATGGAACATGTATCTATCCATACACCTAAACTAGTTTTACAATAATTATCTCAAGCCAGGGAATCTGGTAACTCTCAATCTGTGATGGGAAGGAGATTTTAGTAGACTGTTCAGTAAACTGGTGGAAAGACAATCCCCAAACAGAGAAATGTCGGTCCTTAGGTTACACAGGTTACATAAGCTTGTATAAATAGCCCTGTCTTTGATAGATGTGCTTTCTTCATTTTCCTTCATTTATTTTCTCTCCACTTACTAAATGACAAACTAGGAAGGGAAGAATTTAATAAGGGCAGTGGTCCAAGAGGTAATATTTTGGAGGGGAGGAGTACCTATATCACCTCAGTTTGGGTGTGGCATTCAGGTCACCTCCTTTGTCAATTTAGATGATTCAACCCTTGTCCCAAGATTTATTACACCCTTATGGTTCTATTCTTTCCTGCTGAGGTTCAGAATCAGGTCCTGAAATACAAAGCTGGATCTGCTGAGTTAAATTAAGAAAAAAGGTAGGTTGAAATTGTGGCACATGAAAAATCTTAATAAATAGTTTGCTGAATTAGGATGAATACGAACTTAGCTTATATTTTGGCTTGTTCATATTAATAAAGCCCTCTCTCCCACTAAAACAGCAGTTAGGGTGTATTCTAGCAGGAAGTTCCTGCAAAAATATTATAGTGATCCATCTACTCTCTCAGGCAACCTTAGTTAGAACACATGGGTTAGCATTCCAGGGAACCTCCATTCTGATCAATAACTCCAAGACAAACATAATCTCAAAAGTACTTTTATTAGAATAGCACCTGGCACATCTGTGGAATTTCGAAACTAAAAGTGTCCCAACCTACAAACCATCCCCTTTTTACTCATCATCACATCACATGAACCAATTGCAAAGTAAGTTCCATTTCTTCCTGTGCCACACTCTTTGACCTTGAACTAACAAAAGAATTCTATTTTGTCTACTAAGAGCTGCTCAATTAAAATCACCCCCTCCCACTTTCTCAAGCTATGTGGCAGGGATGAATAAGGATTTCAAAGCTGACAACATGATTCAATAAAACCCAACAGGAAGAAAACTTACAGATTTTAATCTTGTTACTGGTAACCTCATTCAGTTACTTTGGACAGTCTCTGGACAGTCCTTTGCAAACAACTGTATCTGGCTCCATACCAGAGGTGGCCCATACCAGCAGGTTCTGACCACTTCTGGAGAACCTGTAGTGGAAATTTTGAGTAGTTCAGAGAACCAGCAAATATCAGCTCTGACTGGAGATTTTACAGTATCCTTCCCCTGCCACGCCCACCAAGCCACTCCCACAGAACCGGCAGTAAAAAAAATAAATGAATCCCACCACAGCTCCATACTGCAAAATATGTGCTGTACTATTCAGCTACACCATGGGTGTCAAACTCACCACATCAATTGCTGTCACATGACATTTTACGATGTTTTTCCTATTTGCAAAGCTAGGTAGGCGTGGCCAGCGCATGACGCATCCGTCCCATGGGCCACCAGTTTGACATCCCTGGGCTACACTAATTAAATCCATCCCCAACCATTAATTTTTTGGGGTCAGTCATAGTGTCTCAATCTAGGGGTTCAGTACTCCCAACAAATCTGTTGTTACAGGAAAAATTGAAATTTAAAGGCCATGGTTCCTGGAATAAAAGCGGGGTATCTATTTGTTCAATAAAAATATAAATTATGCCATTATACAAAGGTTTAATTTGAGAGATTTCAGAAAAAAACAATACATTTATGTATTGCTTTCTAACAGGATTCTGCTTCTACACAAAGTAGTGTAGTGATAAGTTTGTTCAACCTAGGATATTTGCACAGTTGAATACGATATCTGGTTTGTTTTAATCTTTTTTAAAGAGAGAAGAAACCATTTGTCACACTGCAGACAGAAAATATACCCCCAAATTTCCTAATATCAAAGCAACATTAAAAGCCAACAAAATTTAATTAGCATAATTTTATTTCTTATATCCTTTTAAACATTTTTTCCAATTTCAACATTGCCTTTATGATCACGACCATTTTAGCAATAATGATCGAACTCCAGCATATTACATCAGTGTAAAACTGTCATTTTCAAATCTTTTTTTCCTTTTAACATTTTTTTTTTTAAACAAAGCAAAGTTTAGTTTAAAAGGGCAGGTTCAATAACGACAAAGAATTTTCTTCCGTCCCTGTGTAGCTAAAAACCATATTTTGTGTCAAGGTAAATCAGTCTGATAGTCACATCTGCAACTTTTACCAAAGCAATCCCACTTGCATGCTCCGAACCACAATTTCTCAACCTCAACAACTTTAAGAGGTATGGACTTCAGCTCTTGGAATCCTGGCTGCTGGCTGGGGAATTCTGGGAGTAGAAGTCCATACCTTTAAAGTTGCTAATGTGGGAAAGAGTGGATGGATGCTACACCTGCTCCCCTCTCCCCCAGAATTATAAGCATAACTGAGAACATGAAGGCGAAGAGTACTGTAGTAAGACTTTATATACATAATCTGTATCACAATGCTACGTTTCTAAGGCATGCTGTCCTAAACTGGATGAAATTGGAAAGTGGCCCCAGTAATTCATTATTATTTTTTTGTGCAGAGAAATGGAGAGATCCTCCTGTTATTTCCTTCTCATGTCCTACTTGCTTGTGTCCAACCAAAATTGTCCTTTACACCTTTTGGGAAGGTTAGGTTTACAGTCGCACACACATACAACCACACACACAAAATCACACATGCACGCCGCACAGAGCTGACTTATGTGGTTGGTGGGCGTGGAATCTCACAGCTTGGCATTAAGACCAATAGTGGACTGCAGCAGGAAGTGAATGAGAAAGTGCTTTAGAAGTTGTAGCTGATACCTCTCACGGGACAGCGGGGAAGGCGATTTATCTAGTAATGTAGGCTATCTAAGCCTTCTCTTGAGTAGAAAAATTCTTATCAAAGACAGTCTCTTGTACATCTGCCTACAATAGCAGTGAGTACCTGGGAGGACTCAGTGCTTTGGATGCTACAGTAAACGATGAGGATGAGCCTCCTCAAAACATCTCTGTCCTCAGCTATTCTATCTGGTTTCTAAGTGCTTGTTTGGATGGCAGCTGGTTCTCATAAGCAACAGTTCACACCTGAGATTGTGCGCACAATGAATTCAGCAGGACGTTGCCATACCTTGTTTGCTCACATTTCACAGGGAAATCCACGTGACATTACCAGCCATCTGGTTTTTTCCCCCCTCCCCGCAGTATTACTTCTGCCGCCTTCTTACTTTATAAAAAACAACATCTGTGAGAATAAAAGAGTAGCATAAGAGCCACAGATGTAATGCTGATCTTGATATATAGTCCATCTTCTTTACGGTATGATTTAGATGTAGGCACTGACATTAATTCTTGCAGTGGGCGTTAATTTAGAAACCCATTTCTCCCCCCCCCCCCCCCCGCATCAATCTTAGTACTAAAGTGCTTCCCTAGCTATAGTTTATTTTTTTAAAAAAGAGAGAAACGACATAAATAAAAGAGTATTAAAACACGGTAACTCTTCAACTTTGTTTTTTGCTTTTTCAAAAAAAAAAAAAAAATCCCCATCTTTCTGGCTGGTATTTTTTTTAACCAGTTCTGTCCTTCCTAATTAAATACTTCTAACTTTGCAGTCTGAAACAGGCAAACTCATTTCAATGAATAAGCAGACAGCACAAAATAAACAAGTTATTATTTTCTTTTTTTTTCTTTTTTCATAAAAAGGATCATCACTAAGGTTTCTCCCCATAGCTGAACTGGATCCTCCTACTCTATGTGCTACACCGCCAGTAGGGTGGAAAGCTCAAGCTGTTTTCCTAATTGTGAAGCTTTTGCCACCTCTGATATTCTCCAGTGATCCTAGTCCTTCTCGGTGTCCATAACATGCACACGCTACTAAACAGCGGTATTGGTGGACCATTTAATCTACCCCAGCTTTTAGGCAGCTTTTTTGTAATTGTTGTGTTTCAGGGAGGGTTTGCTTTTCGTATGGAGGATAAAGTGTCTATTTTACAGCATAAACTCGAGCAGCAGTCCATGGAAAAATGCTGCCAGACTATAGGACCATGTACAATTGTTGCCTACAAGAAATACACATGTAATTCCTTGACAGAAGAAAATAATGAACTGAAAGAGCCTACAATTATAAAACCAGCCACGGTACACCATGACAAGTAGTTAAACTCCAAATGGGTTTCTGAAGACCACGAAAATCCAGGGACAAACAATGGTGGGCCACATCACTAGCTACCATTCAAGAAACCTGTGTCCTGTGGCTCTTTCCCCACTTTTAAGAAATGCTCCTTTTAAAAAAGATGTGAGAGTACAACAGCAACCAAAATAAAAACATGTCATCCTCTCCTTCGGAAACAGATATCTATTTACAATTGGAGGGTGGGGGGGGAGAGAGGGGAGGGAAAGATGCTAAATATGAAGCAAACTTGCTTTCTGAGCTTTTTACACCTTTTCTCCAATAACCTTTAAAATAACAAAAACAAAAAAAAGGTTCCCATTGCAGAAAAGCATTACAGATGGGCAGTTCTATTTTTCTGCTTTCTCTTGTTTTGTTCGTGTTCACTGCAAAATTCTTCTATCAATGACCTAAAATATTTTGGTGGGTGTTCAGTTTTTAATAAGCTTTGCCATCTCAATGTCATGATAAAGGGTGGCAATTATTTAAAAAGCCAATTTGGGGATGAGGGGATTGAGAAAGCAAATGAGAAACAGTAAACATAAAATAGCCCCACCAAGATGTTATTTAGCCAACAGAGGGAGAGAGAGGAAAGGAAACAGAAGAGCCATCATCCTGCTTCTCAAAACCATGCTGAAAAGGCAAGTAATGTTGTTTCCTCTGTTGCATGCTGGGAAGGGCAATCCAAATCTTCTCCCTTTAAGCCATAGTGCCATATATTCTTTACTCTTTTCCTGCAAGGGGAGAAGGGTTGCTGGATGGCATATGTACTTGGCTGTTAGCTGTAGGCGGCAATTCCCGGGGCTGGGGGGGGGGGAAAAATCAGAGTGGAATAGGCAGATGCACACAAGAGGCCTTGAAAAAAGAAACAAGAGTGAGAAAGAGAACCGCGATGAACAATCGTAGGAAGGTGGTGCCACATGGCAGCTTTGCCACAATGCCAGCAGGAGCTTTAACCGGAGGCATTCAGGTACAGCTGGCTCTTAAGGATGTAATCAATGACTGGCTGACACAGATAATCCACCACATGCCCATCTCCATGCTGAAGGGCAAGTCTGTGAGGGATAGGGAGAGAAAGAAGAAGGAAGAGAAAGCATTAATCAAATTACTTTAAAGCCGGACAGGTGTATATATAGTCCAGGCCAACAATCTTCTGGTTCTTCCTAGGCTAACCCTGTATAATTTGCTAGCTGGCCCATTTCTAAGAGACCCATTGGAGAGCAGAGGCAAAAATGGTCTTAACGTTGTTGGGAGAAGGGAATTGAGGATTGCAAAGGAGAGGTGACACCTGTGGGCAGATTTGGCACAGATTTGTCATCTGTGACAAATCTATTTCAGATCCTGTACAGTTTTCATCAGTTTCCCACCACACAGTGTATGGGAAATCGGGTCACAGCTTCCAGTAATTATGGTCAGAAGATTCTTCAAGGCCTGCCAAAAAGGGGAATCAGACTGCATGTACGTCTAGAGCTAAAAGTTACCCATCCTTATCCCAGTAGATAGGGATGCGGTGGCTCAGCTTATCGATCAGAAAAGTCGGCGGTTCGACGGTTCGAATCCCTAGCACCGCATAACGGAGTGAGCTCCCGTTACTTGCCCCAGCTTCTGCCAACCTAGCAGTTTGAAAGCATGTAAAAATGCAAGTGGAAAAATAGGGACCACTTTGGTGGGAAGGTAACAGCATTCTGTGCACCTTCCATGCACCGGCTATGCCGGCCACATGACAATGGTGACGTTTTTGGATAGTGCTGGCTCTTCGGCTTTGTAACGGAGATGAACACCACCCCCTAGAGCCAGAAACAACTAGCACATATGTGTGAGGGGAACCTTTATCTTTACCTTATCTCAGTAGATGATATCCCAAATAGAATTGCCTAACCCTTGTGGCATATCTCATACGGGGGAGAGCCTTTTTTGCTTAACATACTTAAGAAGTAATCTATGCAAAGAGCAATTAATGTAGCAAATGGAATCTAGCATGTAATTTTTCTCCAACCCACACCTCATGCCAACCGAAGACAGTAAGCCCAGGGAGAATTTAAATTGCTTGCTCTTTATGCAACAAATGTGGGCAGGCGTCTTAATGAAAGATAAGAAAGTTAAAACTCATTGGAAGTTCTGTCCTTTGCCAGTCTATTTGACAAAGTTATAAAATTCTGGATGAATTCAGCTGCAGGTTCCACAATGTATTTATTTTTTTTCAACTCTGCAATGCCCTTAAAACAACCATCAGAACTCTAGCGTTATTTTGTATAACCAACTTCCTACTATATTTAGGGTCTCCCCAACAGGCAAAAAAAGGTGAAGGACAGGGGGAAACAATAAACAGGCAGGATTTATGGGTTACCTCCAAATTTTTCTGCCTGTTCATGTGCCTGTATTTTATTCTGTACACACAGAGTTGTTAAGCGAGTCGCGTCCGATTTTCTTTGCCACAGTGGATAAGCGAACCACTGCAGTTATTAAAGGAATCAGGCAGGTGTTAAGCAAATCTGGCTTGCCCCACTGACTCTGCTTGTCAGAAGCCAGCTGGGAAGGTTGCAAATGGTGATCACAAGACAGTGCAATTTTCACAAATAGGTGCCAGCTGCCAAGCGTCCACATTTTGATCACATGACAGTAGGGACGCAGTGACAATTGTTAAGCGCGAGGACTAGTTTTAAGTCTTTTTTTTTCAGTGCTGTTGTGACTTTTTTTTTACTGTCACTAAACAAATGGCTGTAAGTAAAAAAAAAAAAAAACTACCTATATTATCGAATACTCTCCGCCCTTGAAGAGATGGCTTCCCCTCCAACCAAGCCAGTTTCTTAATAATTAACTTGCTGCTATTTTGTTCCCTCCCCAGTAAAGTTAACTTCCCCATTCGTAGCCCATTTCCCCTCACTCACCTGCTTTTAGTGGAACTGACAATAGCCATGGGGTGATTCACATCATCCTTCACAACCAGGATATTGTTCTGTGGAGAAAATATCGCCAGGGGATCTAAGCATGGATCTTTCCACATGCTCACTGAAGCAGGATATTGGCATTTAAGATTTGTAAACTCAAGAGAAGGGCCTTTTCAGTTATGGCATCCTTACCTCAGAATGCCACCCCCACACACCCATCCCATTGTTTCCAAGCCCTTCCTTTAAAAAAAATTAGAGGAAAGTGAAGTTGTATTGAATCAGTATTTTGAGTGGAAGAATTGAACATTTTTACTGACAGGTTATTTTTCACTGTAAATTGTTTTAAGCTACCCTGGTATTTATTGTACTCTTATCATTTCAATGAGTTTTTTTTTTTAATCAATGAATTGTAAATCTCTGAAAGTGTTGTAGCTGGCAGAATAGAAAAGAAAAAGGAAAGGCTATTGCAAAGGAAAACTAATTGTATTCATTTTTTTCCCCTCTCTAAATAGCTCAGA